TCCATTTGGAGAAAAAAATATTAAAGTTGACAAAAAAAGTAAATATATAATATATATATATATATATATAAATATAATTTCTTTAAGTGATTTATTTTTTTACTAAAAAATACAAATTATACAATTAATTTAGGTATATATATATATATATTAAATTGTATAAAGCAGTTTAATTCAGATGACTAAAACTAACTGAATTACCATGATAAAATGAGTATAATATCCTCTTTTTAAAAAGATTTACACGATTTTGTTTTTAATCGTTAATTTATTTTAATTGTCTATGATGTAAAAAATTTATTTTAAAAGTATATAAGGTTTTTTAGTTTAATAAAATAAAATTTTTCTTATTTAAGGTGAATATAAGCTTTAAATTTATATAGTGTAGCAAGAAAATGTAAATCAAATACAGGCTGATATTCTCTTGTTAGTGTAAGGCTAGATCACTTTAAATTTATTAAAATTGAATTTGCTTTCAATTAAATTTTTAGAGACATCATAAACCAAACCGATAATATGTTGAAATTATTATTAATTTAATGTACTATAAAACTTTATTTTTTTTTACTATTTTTAAATCATTATTCGAGATAGATTTTCTTCTTTTCTTTTCTTTTGAAAGTTTTTGCTATAAAAATTCAAATTCAATTTAAAACCTAGTCGTTAAATGTGTAATGTACATAAACCAAAATACGACTTGAAACTCACATTTTATAAGTATGAATTTAAAACCGTAATTTATATGAAAGTAACTATTATTTTACGTTTATAATAATAATGACTTTATTTTTTAATTACTGAAGTTTATCACCATATGTGTATCGAGTACACATGGTCATTATTGTTGAAATGGATTATTATATATAGATATATTTAAAAATATTTTATACTCAGCATTTAAAAAATAATTGAATGTTTAAACAGCGAGAATATTATAAAAAAAATAAATAGAATTGCATGCTAAAATAACAATTATGAAAACTTAATTATTAATTTCCCAACAAAAAGTATCAAAGAGACCTAAATTAAGAACTACTAATACACAGTGATGCCACTGCGAGCAACAATTTTATCGATGGAAATTATTCAAACTGATAAATGATAAAACATCATAGATTTTAATAATGTTACTATTGAAACGATAAAAGTAATAATTAAAATGTTCATAGTCACTGATTTCATATTATTAACAATGAATTGTATCAATATATCTATTTTTTATGCAGTTGAAATTGTTTTGATTTATAAATTAATGTCAATATTTGACAATTATAAATTAAAATATATACATTATTATATTTAAAAACGATTTATTATTAAATATTATAGTTTGTTTATACTAAATTAAGTGAAAACATGTATTGTAAGCATACAAAATATTTTTCATCCATGCATATTGCATATATGTATATTTATTTATAAAGCATTGAGCATAAATATTCTGATGTTTATCTTGAATATATTATAAAACATCTTTCTCATAAACACAGTGATAAATATGACAAGGTTGCAAGACAAAGTGAATTTTGAATTTAAAAACAAAAAACAATACAATATATTAAGCTAATACGATTTCAAATTTTTTGGACATTAAATCTTCTTCTTTAAGGTTTTATTATTTTTTTATTGAATATTAATTAAAAAAAATATTAATATTATTAAGATGTTATTGCATGAAATATTATATAGTACAAAATAATGTTTGAATTAGATAGAGAAAATTAACTACCACGTCTATTTATTATTGAAGAAATGTATTGGAAAATTATATATATATATATATATTTTATTCGTGAATTAAAATATATGTTAAATGAGTTAAACAGTTAAATAGAAATATAAGTAGACTATATAATTATAACGGAGTCCTATAAAAATGGTTGTTTTTCTATTGGAATTATTTAAGTTATTTTTTTGGCCTTATATCTATATTTATTGTTAAATTTAAACATAATACGTAAATCTCCCAGTATATTATAACTTTTAAAACTGTAAAGTATGTCAATCCCAACAAACGCAACAAAAATGAATGAAAATCGATTGATTTTCATAGAGAAACGAGAAAAAAAATGTACATGTGTGCCTCATTTGCCCTGACTTCAATTTGGTATCAAATAAGCAACTACCTTACGACTCGATGCACAAAACAGATTTAATTACTTTGTTGATAAAATTACTTTACTAAAACACGTATTAAAATATATTAAATACAAAATTCATAGTAAACTCATAGTTTAAAAAATAACTTAATATCCTTCAAAATATTATTTTATGAAAAGTAAAAAAAAATTGTGAATATGTGTATGTATGTACATGAATATGTTTATTGTTTATGTATATTGTATAATAGAGTTTACCTAAATAATATAATATATTATAATTATAACTAAACAATAATTGAATGAAGTGTACAAAACATATTTATGATTACAAGAAATTGTAACAATAATATATATTATTGTTACATGACACCTATGTATGTGTCAATTCCGTAGTAGGCAATAGTGGGATATTTATGCTGAGATAAACATTGTTAATGATTGTGAGGCCTGTGGCCAATACGCACCGTTTATCGAAAGGGCAGTTCGAGACTGACCAGCAATAAACACGAACTCACCAAAAAACATGAACTCACCAACACCGGGATTGTTTACCACCATCTACATTTTGTTAAGTACAAACCAAAAATATATTTTGAACAGAGATTTATAAACCAAACGTGTTTTATTTATTGATAAGATCCCACATACCGTGTTCTAACCCCCCAGCTACGGAAAATTTATCCATAAGGACCAGAAAACCTTCCCTGGATAACTAATATAGTAACTAGGTTCCCCAGCCACGTTACAAAATTATGCAATGGCCTCAAATATGTAAAATAAAATATTTATTTAATTACTTACGTAATTGTAATAACATTATATTACTATTTTTAAACGACAAGTTTTTAAACGTTATGAATTAGAATGGTATAAATATTTAGAATATTTATATATACAAATCATTATCTTTAAAATAAAACGAATATAAGTACAAAAAAATAATTATTAAATTTTAGCATTGTTAATTTGGTTAATTGAAAATAGATATTGATTTAAAAAAAAAAAGAAACGGGATGGTCATAAATGCATTCCACATAATAGTATTATCATTCGTCATAATATTTTATAGCATATGACTCTAGTTGGATAAAATTCCACGTCTCACTAGGGTTTTATAGACTAACCTGTATATGTCTGAGCATATACAATCTTACTCGGGGGACCCACGATGAGTCTGAAGTAGTTGTGGAGGATAAGTAGACAGTGGATGGTTGTAATTCAAAATCCAATATGCTGAAGTTCGCCAACGAAAAGCGGATCAAAAAAAGGAAAAAAAAAAGTGAAACACGTGTGTATAAGACCGCGCGAGTAGTTTTCGTTATCGACCCTCGAACAGATGTCGATTTCCCACCGTCATCGTCGTCGTCTTATAAAACCCTACCTCTACTACACACTCGTCACCAAGATGCTTTTCATTCCCTGTCGATCCGCATCTATTTCCCTATTCTTATCACGTATTCGGTCCGTCACAGGCGCTAAAAGTATCATCATATCGCCGTTCCTGAATAACACACACACATACACACACACACACACACACACACACACACACACACACACACACACA